CAGATTGCCACAGCAACCAGGAGACAGAGGAGAAAAATATTTCTCCAGAATGCATTTGGTTGCTTTTTAGCAGATTGACATAAGAGGGCTTGTTTATAGATACATCCAGAGCATGTTGGTGTGAAATTGGAAATGAGAGTGGATGGCAGCGTGGCGAGCAAAGTACACGGGGCGAGGAGATTAAACACGCAGGTTGCATGAGCGAGGTGCAGATCGAGGGGCCCGTGGGAGAATGCAGGGTCTCAGCGCTAATCAACTCCATCGACCGAGCAAAGGAAACCCTTTCACCAATGCAAACAGCTTCGTGGTTCCTTGCCTGCACGCTGTCACGGGGCCTGAGGAGCCTCTGCCTCCAAACCCCTTGGGAAGGGAGAGCCCACGGTGCCGGTGGCCACAGCGGGCTGCTCCGCTGCCAGCACCACTGCTCCGTCAGCCGAGCCACGTACGAGACAGTAAACGGGGACATTAAGGTCATGCAGGGGGCCGAGGGCTTCCCCCAAACAATTTAAGAGGCTCATTAAGCCAGTTAATAGTGCAGGAGCAGCACTGACACCGTGCCGCAGCGTTTCCAGTTTCCTTTGTAACAATGTCCCAAAAGGCTGGAGCGCGAAGGGACACCTCGAGAGCCCAATCGAGCGAGCTGTATCAGGAGCAGGTCGCCCTAAAAAACCACAGAAGGTAGCAATCCCGCTCCTGGAAGAAGAGGGAGGCCTTTCCCACACTCTGATGATGATGATGGCTGGCTTGAGCACACAGCGAGCGGGCACAACTCGCTGTCCTGCACAGCGCCCTGTGCAGCAGGTCCACTCGCCAGCATCCGAGAGACAAACCTGCTACAGGAGAAGGCGGGGGGAGCAGGAGGGAGAGCTACACGAGTGCTTTCAGATACACAATAACGGCGTTTTTGCGATGCTGGTGGTGGCCCCTCAGAAGCACGCCCAGCTCGTGGAGCGAGTGCCGCAGCAAGACACAAGCCAGAGACAGGCTCAGAGGACGGGGAGGTCTCCTTGGTCAGAGGCATCACGTCCTGCAATCCCCAGGGATAAACTGAGTATGCAGAACCTGCCCGGCCGCACACCACGGTCTTCATCTTAGACACTGCACCGATTCGACCAGGTATTCGGCAATAAAAAGATCCAGCAGCAGCAAAAATGCTCACTATAATAAACTAATTTCTGAAAATGTGTAGCAATGTCCCGGAATATAAGCAAATATGCAATAACAACGTTGAAATGGGGTGTTGTAACAGGCAGTCAGTCGGCTGAAAGAGCAAGAAGGCAAGAGCCTCCTCTGGGCTTGTGCCTCCGCTCGGTGGACGGGCCGCATCCATCAACTGGATCCCTGTTACATGGGTGGGAAAAGCACCCTCCAGGAGCCCCTTACTGCTCTGCCGTTCAGCCAGGGAACACGGCAGGTACAACCCCCAGCTGAGGCACAGTCGAGGCTGAGTACCCGTCAGGCGCTGCGATGGGAAGGGGAAAACCCCCCTGCCCAGAGGCTTTGCTGATTAACACCTTTAGTTGCGTCAAATGGCAAACAGGAACCAGCATGTCTTGCAAAGGCTCCAGCCGGAATTTAAGGCTGTTTGCATCCGTTACAAGTCTGCTGAGGTGTTCCCCGAGGTCTTTAGCACTTGGGTAGCAGAGGGCAGCCACACGCAGAAAGCACTGCGACGAGCCGGTCCAGGACACGTCTTGCTACCTCTTCCACGCTCCCCGCGGCTCTCAACATACTTCAGAGCAAATTAAACCCTTAGACTTCTTTGAGAAAGCCAGCCTCAGAACAGAGAGGTACCAAACCTCGCTAAACACTCCAGAAACGCCTCGCTAGGCTAACCCCAGCCATTCCCTTCCAGAAGAGATCGGCGATCGGTCTTGCCCCGCGCCGCAGCTCCCTTGCCCAGACACCCCACAGCAGCGGTCCGGGGCAGAGCGCACCAACACCGCAGCTTTGCATCCCGGAGTATCTGCTCCGTACTCACCTGCAGAGTGCCTGGGGAGGACGAGCAAGCACCCGCATCTCCTCAGATGGACAAAACCCTCCGTGAGCACAGCCCCGCTGCGGCGGAGCCACACGCTGGCTCGCCAGCCAACTGTCCCTTCCATCTTTGGGCAGAGACCAGGGGACAGTCACGAGGATGAGCCAGATGTCATGAGGAGGGAGCCAGACTCTTTGCAGTAGTGCTCAGGACAGGACAAGGGGCAATGGGTACAAACTGAAACGTAAGAGGTTTCAGTTGAATATGAGGAAAAACTTCTTTACTTTGAGGGTGACGGAGCACTGGAACAGGCTGCCCGGGGGGGCTGTGGAGTCTCCTTCTCTGGAGACATTCAAAGCCCGCCTGGACGAAGTCCTGTGTAACCTGCTCTAGGAGAACTTGCTTTAGCAGGGGGGTTGGACTAGATGATCTCCCGAGGTCCCTTCCAACCCTTACGATTCTGTGATAGACACTTTATTTCTCTGTTGCACCCAGACTTTTCAGACCTCTCCTCAGAACTGCCACTGCAGTGAAAGAGGAACCAAATCAATCTGAATTCTCTTAGGAGAGGAATAAGATCAATAGACTGAGCCAGGGCTGGTAACTGTCCCACCAGCTTCGCCATGTTATTTCTCTTTCCTGAACCACAAAACTTCACGCTTGGTACAAAATGAGACCTAATCAATACTCCAGTGCCGAAATACTGCTATAGAGCATGCACCCCGGGGTCCCAAGTTATGCCTGAAACTTCTGCCACGTCTTATGGTCTTCAGCACAGCCTTAAACCAAGGGGTTCAGCAATTCCCAATTTTAATGGATGAGATTTTTACTACTACAGAAAAACTTTCCATCAGAATATTTGCTCCCCCGTGCTTATACTAACTTTGCGCAGCTCTATTACACGATTCAGTATCATCGGCACTCAGAGTCTTCCCCGTTACCCAATGCCTCGTGATGTATGAGGTTCGGAACATTTTTCCCAATGTGATGAGGAAGCAAATATTCCCGTGACTATTACGCGCTGTTACTAAAATTTAGTTCACGGGCACAAGGATACTTCTTCCCCATACTGAAGAATGCTTCAGCATTAACAGGGGCTTGACATGATCAACAGCTACCTTCAACTATTTATTTCAACAGAAATCAATTCATTATCAGACATCCATTACTTCGATAAAAAAAACAAACCATAAAATCACTCCACTTACCTCTTCATTTACCGATGCAAGCAGGCCTGGAGCTACATCCCCGTGTCCCGAGCCAGCCTCTCTCCAAACCCACGTCAGGCAGTGCAATCAATCTGTTCACTTCGACACCTTTCAGCCACCGATTCCACACAGGATTTAAACCACCAAGCAGAAACCTTGATTTAAGACACCGAGTTTAACCTTGATTTGCATTTGTATTTATTTTCATTAAAGATCATCAGCTCTCATTAACTCGGATAGCCATTAAAACAGCAGAGATCTGCAGGCAATCATCATGTCAAAAGAATCCTAACTCAATAAAAATAAGGAACATTAGTAAAGCGAAATTAAAAATGTAAGTTTCATCAATATTCCCATTTTTTTTCCTCTCAAGATTTGGGGCAGAACATGTGGATGCAAATTAGAATTAAATGAAAAATGACAAAGTTTCCTTAGGCATATGGAGCAACCAACAGCTTTCAAATTTAAGATTGATTAAATAAATCAGCAGTTTCCAGTGGATTAGATCTCCTGATTCCAAAGCCCTAAACCCGACTGCCTTTGCTCAAAGCATTGCTACTTTCCAACCAAAGGCTTAAGCAACTCCTCCCATGTTGCTGTTCAGTGCCTCGTTCATACGGAGTTCAGACACCCGCCAGGCTTAGACATACGCCATGGAAAATACTTGGCATTTGTGTCCTTTGTCACCTAAATGTTATTTAAATTTTGGTCCCAGGGTACAAGGTTTCTCTGAGCCACGTTCCCCCTCCACCTATTTCTTAACATCTCATGGGAGGGGAAAAAAGCCATCACAAGTCTTTTGTGGGTTTTTTTTGGTTCTCAGTGAAGTAATATAAACCCAAACAGTTCTTTCACCTATTTATCAAGTAAACTGAAATACGTATTTCACAGAGAAGCATTTTTGCATGAAAAGGAGGAATCTGACTCCCAGTATTCACCCCAGTGTAAAGAGTGGAGTATTTGAAGTATTACAAGGTGTTCCGGCACCCCAAAAGTTTGAGCTGATAAAGGTGTTTCCCAAATTCAGCAAAACATTAAAATAGCGGAATTCCTTAAATGTATGAAATGTGAAGTTTCAGTGAGAGCGGGTTTTCAATAAATCATGGGAAAATGGAAATATTGTTTTTGAAATACTTTAAAATCTATTGAATTTTTAGCTTTGGGAATTGGGCAAACTAAAACTGGTAACAGCAAGCCTTAGACACTATTCAGATTTTCCTAACAGTTCAGTGTTTGCTATTTGCTTCTGCAATACAAGAAACCAAAAGGTGTTTTTTCTTTTTCTTAAAGAGGAAAAATCTCTGTTTTTCATAAGGGTCACAGCAATTTCTTGCTCTTTTAGGCTTTATTTCCGCAAGTTCCCCAGAAATGTATGAAAAAAAAAAAATCGCAAGCAATCAAGACTTCTGTCCTTAAATCACTTTGTTTCTTTATGAAATTCCAGACAAAGCGCATGAGCCAAGAAAGAGAATTTGTTTTATTAGCATTCATTCCAGGAAAAAGCCTCTTTTGAAACTTCCCAGTGAGTACGATGTCAAAAAGCAAATGGAAGCTGGTTCATCAATCTGTCTTCCTGTCCACTTGAACATCTATTGGGGGGGGGGGGGGGGAACCTTTTTTTATTTTGCACCTGCTCAAACATCACAGTCCACTTCGAGGCAATGAGAAAAATGCTTAATATGAGTCAACGGCCAGCTACAATTTAACCCCCAATAAAAGTCTGGTTTTGGCAGAAGGTTCACCTTTCTTTAAAATGACTGTAAGCAGGAGTGAAAACTATTTCTTAAATTTCCTTTAAATGCTGTCCATAATGAGTATTAAATCTTTTCATAACTGTAGCAAAGCCATTTCGGTTCACTGACGGTTTGAATTCTTCAAGACTGATATTAGACAGGCAAACTGCAGATAGAAAAGCCAATTTTCTCTTAGAATTTAAGCAAGACCTTGTCCATCTCCTTGAGTAACTTGTCTCTCTTTCTCCAAGCAGTGGCAGGAAACCTTCATTTCTACAGCTGATGTCTATACTCTTGATCTCCACATGCCTCATCCTCGCCACAACACATTTTGAGCATCCTTCTAGGATTAACGAATGTGTTGCTTCCCTGAGTGTACAGTAAGGCACCGCATTTTCATCATTTCCAGCCCTGTAAATGGCATGGGTCATTACAGAACAGCCTGCTTGAAAGAACAGGACACAATATTCACGTACTTTGTTAGAGGAGACAGAGCTACTTTTCATGGTGATCAGCTAAGGCAAGGAAGACTTTCATTTCATTAAAACTAGGAACTAAGGATGAAGTAGTCTTAAATCAAAATACCTTCAGTGTAGCAGTTAAATTTGAGCAGAGAGGGCTGCAAGGTCACACTCAGGACTGTCAAAAGCAGAAAGGGGCACTGGGGAAACTGGCAATGGGCAAAGAACTCTGACAGAAGGGAGTTGTACAAACCTCACGTATCCTCCCAGGAGAGCCAAGATCGGCGTGAAAAAGTAGGTTAAGAGTTTGAGACCAAGTTTTGGCAGCTGCCATGCTGAAGCATTGCCCTCAATCAGGATCAGTGTACGTAACCCATCTCCCCAGCCAATACAACAGCACACCTAAATTTTCTTCCTTCCCACTCTGACAGCTCAGTGTCCTCGTTCATTCCTACCTTGTTTTCTCCCACCACAAGTTGCAGTCCAAGGCTACGCTCCTTGATTATCTATCTGCAGCGACACAAGATGAGTCCTTATGATAACAGTAACTTTCTCAGCACAGCTGAATGTCCACAGGGGGGTTACAGAAGAGGAGATGGCACAACAGTCCCACAGATATTTGCTTCCAGAAGACCATTCAAATTCTGATTCGGGTGTGAACTAGAAACGTGTGTCCCATGCCATTACCACCCCCTCACTCCCTTGCAATGTAAGTCCACAGCTGATGGAAAGACAGGCTTTTGGCTGGGAGAGCAGCTCTTCTTTTCCCCCTTCTGCCAAGGAATAGGGATGGTAAGCAGGTGATGCTGATTCAGATTAAGATGTCATACGTCAAAGCCATACAATTAAGCTTACACAACACACACCTATACCACGCCTGGCTCCAAGAGAGCTGCTGAACTGTCACACTTCTACCAATACCTTTAAAGTTACCCCAGAACAGATAACATCACAGCAGCAGAGATCACCTGCGGTTAGCAGGTTGGCAAGATACTTCTCCAAAACTGAACCAAAGTTCCCAGCTATTTCCACAAGTGTATATACTGATAAAATGATACAGGTAGGAAATAAATCCAGTTATTTACTTAGTACTTTTTTTTTTTTATAAGAACTATGATGTTCATTTTAAGGCTCAGTGACAAATCCTGTTTGGTGCATCATCACCTTATTAAAAAGCTGTCACACGTGCAGAGAATGTTAAGTTATATTAAGTATGCTGTTAATGTGACAAAATACAGCCTGCTTTCCACCTGACTAACGCTGCAGCACAGATGGCACATTTTCAAGGGGGAAAAGAGGCACCCTCTCCTTTCCTCGCCAAGGCTCCAGATCCAGTTGAAATTCTAAACACAGTAAAAATACGTAAGGTGTCTCAGCCACAAAGGCAACACATCAGAAACCCAGCCATAACACGCCGCTCCAGATCCAGGTACGCATGTCAGTTATTGGGATGTGACTGCCCCCCAACCGCAGTAAGCAAAAGAAATGGAAAGAGTCATTTAAAATACTCCATTTATCCAGGTATGAAAGAAAGGCTAGACTGATGCTGAACAAGAAGGCAGTTCAAAAGCAAAACCAAAAGATGCCTCAAAGTGACAGATATTGATAAAGGCAGAAATTACAACTTTTTGTCCAGTAATCAAAAAGAGCACAAAGTTCTTTTGCACCGAAGGCAAAAATCTGAGCATTGCCAGTGCACTGTGTAGTTCATGCCAGTGCAGTCACATGTGGTATTGGTTGTTTCAGCCATCAGCAAAAGACTGGGAATAATAAAGGAGTGCCAGAGTCAGATCTTTAAACATCTTGGACGGGAACATACTAATACAATCACTTGAGAATTTTCACTTGTGCTATTGGAGGGCAGGTGTAGAAACCCAGCATTATCTCCAGTAATTAAAATACCCTTCAAAGGCAAACCTTTGCATGACATTTTAGGGAACAAAGGTTTTGGCTATACACTAAAAGCATGCCAATGCCGCTTTCTACTCTGTACCCAGGCTTCTTTGGAAGATACAACAGATCTGGTATCTTCTGTCAGCAGGATTCCGGCATGACCTGTTACTCTAAACATTAGTAAAGAAAATTAAATTTACCCTTCATCACTCTACATGTATGAGTGCTTATACTCATACATACAGTTCATGCAGTCTCGCTATTTGCAAAGTCCAGTTAATTAATCCTTTGGTTTACACTCATCCACCTATTTCAGGAAACGACTTCAGCAAATAGATATACTCTCTGCTTGTTCATTGAAGGGTTTTTTAATGTGAGGAGAAACGGAAACTTCTGGTTAACCACATGTGACTGCTTAACTACATTAAAATCAACTGGATTTTCAGCAGTTTCTAAGCTGTTCACACTTTCCTAAAAAAAGCCTCAGTGCTCAAGTCTTTAAACAGTTCATCCAATAAAGCTGATGTCATATACCAGGTATTACAGATGCATCTCTCGGCTGCAGCTGAAAGCTGGCAAAATTAATCTCCTTTTGCCCAACAACCCGAGCCTTGCAGGGAAACAAAACCTAAAAGAACAAATAACCTCAGGTCTTGACAAGCAAAGCTTCTTCCATTGGTCTGATTCAAAACATAAATGTTACGTTGTTTTCAGCATACGAGTCCCATCTATGCACCATGAAACAATGATGAAAAAGTATGATGCAAAGTCTTCTTAAATAGTCACCCAAAATATAAAGAAAGCATACAGAAGCTTGATGCAAAATCCAGAAATAGTCCAGGGCAGTGCTTGGGTATCACTAAAGATTTAAGGACTACTGGGGATTATGTGGCCAGCCACGAACTGTCTCGTAAGAGGTCATGACAGCGTTCTCTGCTGCTGAGTGAACAGACTGCCATTCCTCATTAGAGGTTTGTCTATTGGTTTTAAAAAAAAAAAAAAAAAAAGACCAAGGAAGAGCATACAGTCATGCAGCTGATCGTCGACGAATCACAAAAACACCTCGCTGCAGCTGTCCCAGATAGATTCTCATTTTTGTGCTGTCACTGGTTTTCCTCACCCAGATCTGCATGAAAGAAAAAAAAAAAAAAAAGAGGCAGGGGATATATTGGGGAGAAAAAGGGAAAATCCACAGTAAGCAACACACTGACAAATAAGTCCAAGTATTCTTACTGCCAGATCTGAACACCCGGTTACTCAGGGTGCACTCAGGGCTTAAGCCCTTCTTCCCCACATTAAGCATTTGCAACCCAAGTAGAACACAAAATAAGGTTTCTAACTTTACCACCCTAACTTCCTGCTCAAAGCAGTCATCAAGAAAAATTACTCTTCCCAAGCATCACCAGGAAAGGAAGTTTCCTTCTGCTACAGTTTGCAACAGAACTCTGGCATTAAGCTTTACCTAATCAAGAATAAGTCTCTCTAGATCCACAGATCATAAAATTATCTCTCCTGGGATTTGCCCAGGCAAGTAACTATTAGTCAAATGAAAAGCTTATTCTGATTTTGTTCAGCGAAGCATTTCTCACAATGTATTAAATAAATTGTATCTGCAGATAAAAGGTCCTCTTTTTTAAAGACCTGCATGGAAGCACTCACCTAACTGGCTGATACACAGTGTGTTTCAAAGGACAAATTGCTTCCACGGAGGCAGCCATTCAGAATTTTTAAAAAATAAAAACCACTTTCAAGAAGTTTAGACCCAAATACCTGTACTTTAAACTCCTCAGCATTTTATCATTCTAATGCATTTAAACATATTTAAATAAATGCATGGAAAAGAAGTTATCTAGCTCTTAGTACTAGAGTATTTTAGGACACAAGTCCAATATTGCCTACTGCAAAGGACTATAAAGTTAGTGTTGGCGTAT